AACACAAATCAAAGTTGAACTGAAAACAACAAACAGTAGTCCACAAGGGGAGAACCATATGACATACTGATATGATATTTCTACAAATTGTAGTACTGTCTTTGTTCTGAGAGACTAAAAGTTTTCTAGTTGTCAAACGAGACTTAAGACTAAGGGGACCAAGTCTTTCAGTCAATGGCACCAAGGCTTTGGGACAGCACTTTTCTACAGCTTCCTAAAACACTGTTAAAACCTTCCTGTTTTAACAGTATTGTCTGTTTTGTGTGTTTTATTATGTGTTATTTTATCTTGCCGTTGACACCTAATTTTTAATAGTTATTTCATTAGTTTTCTATGCAACACTTTGTGATGGTGTTGCTGCTTAAGGGGCCTGACAAAGGAACTTTGTAACTTTCATACAAAGGTAATTATATTTGTGGTTTCTCAATTTACGCAGCTTTATGAGCAAATAACATTTATTTGCATTAGATGTTTTTCCATGGACAGTATTTCACAACAGGGTAACACAATAGAATGAACAATGGAATACAACACAGAACAGAAAAGGCACAATTAAAAATACATATACAAAGCTCTGGTCTGACTAAGAGCTTCTTAGAATAAAAAATCTTCAATATAATTAACAAGTCTTGCTTTGATGACAATACAAGAAACTTTTCGTAGTCGGGCACTTTAAATAACAAAAGAGAATCTGTTTAAATCCAGAACCTTGAGGAACGCCATGAATTTTTCCTTGCATAGAACACCCTAAATTTGATGTAAAAACCTCAATATTTTAGAGGGCACCATGACTACATTTCTTCGCCCTCATCTTTACTCTTCTTGCTCTTTGTATTTTTGCACAGCAGATAATTTTTTTATTTGAAATTTCCATGTATATGTTCATAGCCCAGTCTTTTGGGTATTTCTATATTTTCCTATTCCTTGAAACAACTGCATGAGGCCAAGGCTAGCCCGGCTTTTGTTGGAAATGTCTTATACTTTTACAAGAGAATCTATTCCCTTCACTCTCACCCTGTAATGCCCAGACAGACTGAAACTTGAGGCGGGTAATCATTGATCAGAAAAAGGGCAGTGGCCCAGAACATCAGAAAGCTATCAGACAACTAGCACAAACTATATATATACATATATATAAAACTTGTGCTGGCTAGATCAACAGTGGAGGCCTATAAAGCTAGGAAACAAGGTGAGCCGAGTTGAGCTGATTGGTAGTCAGTTGGCACAGGTGAAAAGAATGAGCTTGTCAGTGAAGAGCAGAGCAGAATGTAAACACGATAACACAAATGGTTGTTTCCACCACATTTGTGATTGCAGTAAAAGAAATAGGAGTCGGTTGAATTGCTTTGACTGATAACCTGTTTTAAGTGCTTTTGTACTTTCTTTTAAATGTCTCTGCTATGTATAGCTATTTATTGATGGAATTCAATAGTTAAGCTATGATCAAATCCTTGACTTGAAAAAGCACTATATGAGTACAGTCCATTTACCATTTGTTTAACATTTAGCTGGATTAGAGGTACTGATTTAAATTGTATCTGGTTTATATTGTAAAGTGTTTTGAGATTTACTTCTGTTGATAATTGCTGACATGTACGGTGTGAGTGATGTGTAATTTAAGATCAGCATAAATCGTTTAGTGCCTTGGATTACATTAGAGAAGAAATAGAAACATGATGGGACCACAGCTGGCAGTTCAGGGGTAAATCTATGAAGATATTTGAAGAGGTTAGGCTCTAGTGCAGTATCGAAGTTTTAAACATTAGACAGAGAACGTTACATATTCCTTCCATCGTCTGAAAATTAAAACCTTATTGCTCAACTGCAAACCTATGAAGACATCTAACCCGAAATCCCTGTCATCAGTAACAGAAGTAGACAAGAGCAGCAAGGTGACTCCAAAGAAGCTGCAGAGATCCAAACTATGGACATATTTTAGCTTTGCTCCCAACAAAACCAATCCTTATCGAAGAGTGAAAAGCTGTGTGGAAAAATAAGCTGTGCTGTGGTCCTCAAGAAAACGCTATCCTGCATAGCTGTGTCTCTGATTCAAATGACTTCATTACGTCTCACTTTGTCTTTAAGTGTTGCACAAATCTGCCAATCACCCATTTATTGTGGTCAGGTTTAGTCTGCAAAGATACACTTTAAACACACAAGGCAATAATTTGAGTTCCACTTCCAACCAACATAGCGGAAATAGCAAACACGGTGAAGAACAACATGCCAAACCCCCTAATAATCCATACCATGATGAACATGGCATATAATGTTGAGCTGAAGAAGACCAGCAATAACTGATCAGAGCTCAGTGAAGGTATAGTTAGTTACAGGGTACTGTAAACCTGCTAGAAGTTGCAGATTATCAGAGACTAGGGTGGAGGTTGACCATCTGGTAGAAAATTAATCCTAAACATACAGTCAGAGACACAGAGAGCAGGAATCAATGGCAAGACGTAAATATTTTTACTCATCCAAGCTGACTTTAGAAAAAGTCAGCTTGAATGGTTAGAAAAACTTTTAAAAAAAGTCAGTCTCTAGATTTACACTGAGAGATGTTCAGCTCAAATAGCAGCAAAAGTGGATTCAAATGAAATTATGCTCCACTTCTTGTTCATTCACCACATAAAATCTCCACAAATATTGCAAAATTTCACAGTTTCATTGAGGCAACATGTAAAAACATTCAAGGCCATTAAATATATATATATAACTGAAAAAAATAATGCAACCGCTTTTGCCATTTACTTAATCATATTTAGTTATTTTACCACAATTGTTTTGTCCTACCCTGCTAACATAAAACAATTGTGTTAAAGTTAATAAATATGAATAGGTAAATGCCAAAAACGGTTGCATTATTTTTTTCAGTATATATATATATATATATATATATATATATATATATATATATATATATATATATATATATATATATATATATATATATATATATATATATATATATATATGTTTTTTTTAAGGATTTTAAAAGTAAAAACAAGAGAAGAATAGTGAAGACTTGGCTTACACATGGGGATTGGGTATGACTTTCATTTACAAACAAATCTTGACACCTGAGGTAAAAGTAGAGTAAAATAGAAATATTAATCTCACAACAAACTATTGTTTAAAAGAGATGAGAAGAAGGTTTTAACAGACTGAAGATGATTTACAAGTAATGATGTTTAATAAGGACAATGGTGAGGAATCACTGATCATTTAGACCTCTAGTAGAAGCCTAAAGAAAATAAAAGGTAATTCGTTCATTTCTTCTTCATTTTTATTTAAAAAAAAATGTATTATCAATTCATGATATTCTAATGTAACTGTAACACAATTCTGGATTGAAAATAAAATGCACTTTCATGTTTGGTTTTACCGAAAAAAAGTAAATTCAAATTACGAAGCTGTATTGTTTCTTTTGTCTGTTTGAAACGAGTCTGAACTAATTTCTGGTCTTGTGTACAGAGAGTCACTCTGGGACATAAGTGTATTTTCAGAATTACAAACAAGGGCCCATCTCTTTTGTGTGACCTCTCCTCACAGAAAACCATGTGTTTGTCACACACAGTGGAAAACAAGCTTTACACAACAGGAGTGTGAAATCACCATGTTCCAAGACTGGGAGTGGTGGTGGGGTGGTTGGGCTCTCAGTGGGCTAAAAGGAAAAAAAACAAAAAAAAAGCTAAAGCTCGGACAACATGAGGCACAAAGACTCCCGAGTTAATCAGCAGACTAAGGTAACATTGTTTTCATCTCTGCAGGATTCAACAAAGTGATCTGATTTGAAACTCAATGTGCTGCTTACGTACTTAACGACATAATGAGGTGTTGTAAAACAACAGGATTAACATAATCAGGTTCCTATATTGAAGTGCTTTATACACTACCAATATACAATTATAATATATATATATATATATATATATATTTTTTATATAAGGTTGATGGTAAGGGTTAATGATATGTGTGTGAGGATATAATATATAACTTCAACTAAACACATAGCCTCAACTAAATGCAGACATGTAGTTGTATGTTCATTTTTCTAAATATATAAAAACACATGCTTTTGTTCTTTAGAATTGAAACAAAAATGTGGGTAATCTAATTTTTTTAGCCACTTTTTATCTTAATTTAGTAATAATCCAAAATAAGCATAATTATTTGGACTGAAATTAGTGACTAGTTTATTCAAACAGCAACAACAGCAATAATGATATCAACAATATTGGTCAAACTCACAAGAAAAACACATAAATATGTATTTAATCTTATGACGGGTGGATCATATTAGTTTTGATTGGATAAATAGGGCTGAAATATAAATAGATTAGATCTTTTATAAAAGCCCTAAATTCCTTTAAGTAATTGTTTTATTGGTGTCCAGTTTTTCATAATGTTTTTTTTTGTCTGAAATTAAAAATAAAGTAGTGACACATCGAGTAAATATTGCTTTGTATCATAAAAAGATAAGGATTATGAGAGGATTATGCATGCCGTAAGTAGTTTTAAACTAGAGCAATGTATTAAACCATCAGTATAATCTTAAATCAGGCATATTTTACTTGCAAATAGGACAGTTAAAGAAACCAAACATATTTTAATTGTGATTCTAAACTGAAATATTTCTATCTAATTTAAATTAACAAGAATAGATCGTCTACAGAATATTTTTCCTGTGTTTTTTTTTTTTTCTTCAAATAACTTGTTATAGATCTTCTGTGTCTGTTTAAATTTCATATTAAAAATACATCAGAAATATGGCCTTTGAATAATATTTTCACCTTTAAAAGCTTAAATTTACTTATTTGTTCGCAGTTTTTACAAGCAAAATGCTAAACCCTCACATTCACAGAGAAACGTAACTTTGCGCCTTTAGGATAAAAAGGCAGCGGCGTTCCAAACTTTCTTCAGCACTCTGGAAAGAGGAAACCTTCAGAGCTCAGCGGCTCTACGGCGCCATCTGGCGTCAAGAACATGTAACCGAGACGCTGTTACGTAGCTTCCGGTTTAGACATGGCTGCGCCCTGACAAATGTCACACCGTGTGTTTGGCTAGAAAACATTAACTGAATTTCATTGTTCTATCGACTATTAAGCGAAACAACGAAAGGGAGGAATTGAGACCGTTACATTTGCTTCATACCACGTCTTAAGAGGTATTACATTTATTTTCTCCTCAGAAGCGAAGGTCAGAAGTTTTTGGCATCAGCTGGACTGCCGTTTGCTATGTATGGTCTTTGACTTTGCACAAACAAACAGTTTACGTTTATATTGATATTGACGTACCTTTATTTTGAGTCTGTCTTATTTTTCTTTTTTACTTTTATTTTTACTGCAGGGTGAATCACCGGACATCATGGTTCATTTATGTGAGTATCGTAGTGCAGACTATTCTTAAAGAAATCCTCACAATCAAAACCACAATATCATAAATATATATCAAATAATATATCAGCAATATAAATAATTTCAAAACAATACCAAACAATAAAACAAATCAAAAACAATACAAGAGTGAACAAGTCGAAGCAAGATCAGTAGAAAATGTCCTGAAGCAGACAGCTTAATTAATAGACAAAATTACAAACGCCTTTGAGTTTAATTTTGCTCTATCTTTGGTTAAATTTACAGTTTCTTATTGTCAAACATGTTTATTGACCAACATCTTATTATTTGACTGATTGTGCCTTCAGATATTAGAAAAATAATTTGAAGTAAATGTTAAAACATTACATACCTGTTACAGCATGTCCTCTTAAACTGAATATATTTATTAAAACATTTGGCATAAAGCCTATGAAAATTAATATTACAATGATGCATAGAAAGCAGCACCATAAGTTGCACATATTGGCAAAAAAGGACTGTGTATAGCTTTTGAGTTACACTGAACCAAATACATTTTCTGCAAAAAACCATAAAGTAATTTTGTTTTTGTGTAATAGGTGATTTTTATTAATTTATTTTATTAATGCAAGCAAAAACTCTAATAATTAGTTCTATTTTTTCCTGATGTCCTGCAGCATCCCTCCTCCTGAAAAAATACCACAGCGGCTATGTTGTCATCCGACTCGCTCTCGCTGGGCACCAGCAAGCCAACCGACCCTTTTATCGGATTGTTGCAGCTTACAACAAGAGAGCAAGGGATGGCAAGTACATCGAGCAGCTGGGTACCTTTGACCCCCTTCCTAACATCTACAACGAGAAGCTTGTCAGTTTCAACTTTGACAGGATCAAGTACTGGATCGGCTGCGGTGCGCATCCAACCAAACCGGTGGCCAAACTTCTAGGTGTGTGATCACTTCCTCTGGCGCAGGTTCCAGTGTATAACAAAAATGCACAGTTTTATCATCAGCCAGTGGTTCAATTTGTTCGCAAGGAAATATTTAAACAAGGAGGTCTTTCAATAACTTCCTATAAGCATCCACTCCTACTACACAATGAACTTCTGTATTTTATTGGCCTTGGTTCTATGAATTTATTTTCATATTTGCCTCTCATCCAAACATTTATGTCAGGGGTCGGCAACCCAAACTGCTCAAAGACCCATAGTGGACCAAAAAATACATCTGTCTGTAGCTGCAAAAATGTAAAAGTCCTATATAAGCCTTGTATAGCAACATGGGCTCTAAGTGTATTATCCATATATAGAAAAGGACTACATGGGCGTATATATATAATAAGCTTTCATGATTAAATGTTTATCCTGGAGCAAATGTCATATAGTAGCATCAGGTGAGAGAGGAGCAGTGAAAGCTTTAACCACATGGTGTTCATTGCGCGGTTTAGGTTTTGTTGCATTGATGAAATTGTAGAAACACTATAAAGGAATCTTTCGATGGCGCACAAGTTTTTGTTGGGAGGAGTTGATTGAGTCTTGAGAAACCAAGCAGGAACTGACATCCATGAGAGCAGTGCTCTCTAACCCTGAAACTCACACCCTCTGTCACCAGCGTTCCTTGGTGTGAACAGGTTTCAATGCTTGCAACAAAACTAACAGCAGTAGTGGAATTTTGAGATGCAATCTACTTCTTAAATTTATCTTTGAGCTCCTATAATTAATCCAGAAGTTCTGCAATAGTACTTTTTCTCTCACTCCCAATTTGGTGGTCGGCTGCATATTTAGCATACATTTAACATTTTTTAAATACAAAGAAATTCAATGAGCAGGTATATGTTTGCCATGCACTTTGGCTAAGCGAAAATATATCTACCGCTGAAGTCTGAAAAAAAATCATCCTTTCTCATCTCTACAGGATTGGCTGGGTTCTTTCCCCTCCACCCCATGACAGTAACAGAGGCAGAGCGTCGAAGAGCTCAGGCCAAGCTGGCGGAGGCTGCGGCGGAAACGGAGGACTCTCAGGAAGAAGCGAAAGTCTGATTGGATCCAAATGAAGCTGCTGATGTTTTAATAGAGAACTTGTGCTTTCTTTCTTCCCCTCACACAGCAACTGATGTAACATCTTGTAAACAACATTTACAAAAATATGAATAACTGATAATATGAGGTGATTGAGGATCGCCAAAAGATGTTTTGTTTGTGGAAAAGTTGCAGATACTTGCAGATAAAGGTTTGTGCAAAAGCTGGAACAATTCTATATGTTTTTGTTTATAAACCTTTTTTCATTTTTTTTTTTGGCTTGTACGTTGAAGTCAATACTTGGAAACACAGATCTTTGGATTGTGTTTGTTACCCTCCATGAATGTATTGCTTGTTGATGTTTTTAAATAACAGCTTAAGCTAAATGTTTTTTTTTGGGGTGTTGTATGATTTTTTAAGACATTTGGGTCCATTTGTCTTTACATTTTTTTGATTAGTTAATGTTTGCTGACATTTCTTTATACAAAAACCTCATCAAAGTTTTGGTGAAAAGAAATATTTGTGTCTCTTTTGTATGCAAGTTCAGGGGTCTGATTTATCAAAGTTTTGTTGCAAGCAACAAGTTCTGCAATGTATGTACGCCAATTTCCATACAAAAATTATGATCTATCGAAATGCAAGCTTGCCATGGATGTGTGTTTATGCCACATTTTTGAGGAAAGGGGAAAACGGAGATACAGGGGGTGAGGTGAAGACTTGGTTTAGGTTAGATTAGGATACCGTATCTTATACAAAATGTAGATCTATGTCAACCAGTGGCAGCTGCTGCCTTCTGAAATGGGAGGCTCAATGGTGTTAATTAAACATCGCGTATTGCAGTAACAGAGGTTGAAACGCATCTCTACAATGGGTAAAAATAGCTGTTGTGAAGCGCTCTGAAATAAACTCCAGAAACCACGGCAAAAGTTTATCTTAATAACAATAATGATAACAGATTTTATTTCAAAGGTGTGTTTCTGGACACTCAAGGTCATCGTATGAAGATAAAAACATGATGGCAGAAACTAAGCCAAAACACAGAATAAAAACCATTTAAAAAATACAAAGGCTGGGACAGGGAAATTAATATTAAAGAGAATAGGCAATTTTAAACAGATGAGTTGTGATTTGAAAGAAATTGACGCACAGAGGCTGGGGGGGACATGGAGGCCTTACAGATATGGGGTGGGGGGGTTGCTTCTGTTGCTGTTTTACAACACCTCAGTTCTATCTAGTAGCAGCAGGTGAGAGCAGAGCAGTAAGCGCCCTCACAGTGTGGAATTCACCCACTGACCTGTATTTACTCACTGGATTGCTGATAAAAGTGACAACACCGACTACCATGCTGGTACTCCCCACTCCCACGGAGACACGCAGTAAAAAGGCCTACATTTGTAGCATTTGGCTGCAAAAACAAGCATTTTGCCACCTGTGGAAAGATGTTGCACAGGTAATTTCACATTCAGTGGGTGTACTAACCAAGAAAATCCACATATACGCCAATCTATCCTATATAGTATAGTATGTAACGTAACATTAGTCTGGCTAACTATATTGTGTCTAATGTAAGAAATAGAGACTGGAGTAAAAGGAAAGTAATTCACTGTGAAATCTCAATCTAGTAATTCATTATTAAGCACATGACACTTGTGTTTGTTGTATTTCTCATTTGTAAAAGTTGGTACTGAAATATATTGCATGTTATATTGACGGAGAAAAAAGCAACTCAAACATTTGACCCCTATACATACATACATATATATATATATATATATATATATAATATTTTACATGCATTGTCAGACATGTAATATTATAACAATGTAGTAAATACATGGATATTACAAGTACATCATCAGTTTAACATTTTTGGGACATCTGTATTATTATGCTCCATTAACACATACATTTTATTGTGCTGAATTTGTATAATATGTTATATTACATGATTTATAGACTTCATTGACTTCATAATGACTATGCATATGTTTCACTATGTGAAGTTAAAGTAAACTACTGATGTTAGGAAACAGCAAGTATGTGTCAAAGTGATGAATATATATCTTTATTTTAAAAATCTTAAGTCACCCTGAAAATGAGAACATCATCTTTGTTCCATGCTGTAGCACAAATATTGTTTACATTGCGACTGGTCTAACAAGGGAGTACCAATATGGCGGGCACTTCAACCCTGTACTACCAACAGGTAATCAGCAATCCAGTGAATAAATAGAGACTAGTGGATTCACCGCTGGTTGCTTTCCCACCCTTCCTGTTTCGATACTGTATGCTGCAGCCACCGTGCCCGGTCTGAATGCACCATGAAGACACGCTGTTGTTGTTTAAAAATCTGTAGAGGATGCTCACTGTTGTCCATAATGATCTTCACTTTATGAAGAATTCTTTGTGAAATAATATACAGATGTTCTAGATGAATTCCTAGAACAGAGCTGGATTTCTTTATTAGCTTGTTGAGCTTTTTTAAGCAATTTACTCTGATACTCTTACCCCAGCAGGTGATAGCAGAAGAGATCACATTCTCCAAAACACACTCGTAGAAGGTAAGTCAGTTAAGTGTTTGCAGCATCTTGCTTGTTTAGGGAATCAAACACTTGTCTGTTGACCAGGTGAACACCAAAGTATGTATGCTCCGCCACCTCCACGTCTTTGATGTTAATAGCATTTTGACTGCTTCCTGTTTCATCTTGAATCTAAAATCATCTCCCTTTTTAGTTCAAAATGAGGATCAGATGATGGCACCCAATTTCACAGAGCGATTCACCAACTCCCTGTATTCAGCGTGTTGTCCATCTCTAATGTGCCCAACAACTGCAGTCATCTGAGTATGACAGGACTCTTTCTTGTACTGGAAGTCAGATGTTCACAGAGTAAACAGGAATGGTCAAAGTAACGTCCCGTGGTGTTCTTCCGTGTTGCTAAATACTTGATTCAAAAGTTGACCCTTCCGCCTAACAGTAACTTGCATTACTGGATAAAGTCGATCAACTTGATGAGGTGTTTCAAGATGCAAGAAAAATCACCAAGAAAAAGCAAAATTTTTTTCAAAAGCTTTATCTAAACAGAGACAGTGGACACTTGTTGACATTTCTGTTAATTCACCAGTGTTGGTGGAGATTAGTGAATATTCTGACTTAAATTTTATTTTTTTATTATAATTGTTTATTATTTTATTTATATAGCGCCAGTTCACAACACATGTCATCTCAAGGCACTTTACACAGACAAATAAACCAGATCATACAGTCGGATTGGTTCAGTTGTCTATCTAAGGAAAACCAGTTGATTGCATCTACTCACTGACTCGAAAGCAATTCCTCACACCAAGCATCCTTGTAGCAACAGAGTGGAGAGAAAAACTCCCTTCTTGGGTTTAAGGAGACAGGAGCATACATAGAAAAAGAAGCAGAGATACGAAATGCAACTGTCAACTAGCTCCACTGGTTCAGTAAACACACAGCCAGACAAATAAGCTGTGAGCCAGCTCCCATTTCAGAGGATGCAGAAGACATTACAGCTGATATTCCTCTCTAGGATGGTTTCACAGCCAAAAAGGAACTTACCAGATGAAGCTACTATGATGAGAAAAAGCAGAGAGATCATAACTTTTGAGATTGAACGAACAAGTGGCAGTGTACCACAGCCTCGTCTGCTCCTGTGTTGGCATAAATCTAGTAAAGCGGATGAGAGGTTTCCACTCTAATAACCCTTTAAATTCCTGGTCAACCAAATGGTTGACCTCATATTGAGTCGTTACATTTACCAGAAATAAGCTCCTAAACTAACACAGACTTTTTGAGTCTAAAATGGAAACCATTTTTTTTTTTTTTTTTTTTTTTTTTTTTTTTTTTTTTTTATGTTTGGGAAAAACTTTACATGCAGATTGTGATTTTTTTTTTTTTTTTAGTATTTCCATTTAGCTTCTTTAAGCTAACCTCTTTTTATTTGTCCAAATGGACGTTAATTGTCTGTAACTGATCTTTTTCAAACATTAGAGTGTTTTTCTTTATTTTAAAACAATCTTAATTTTTCACCATTGCAGAATTTGTTTAGTTTTAAGACAAAATAAAAAATGTTTTGAGCAAAAAAAAAAAAAATTGTTGTATTTATTAAAACCTGGGTTGACATTTGTGACTTTGAGTACTTCTACATTTGGCTTGGTGATGTCGCCATTTTGTTTTCACTTTCAGGGTTATTTTTATAGATCCCAATATTTGCATGGAGGATTGCATACACAATTTTAAAGTCCTGTTTCTATGCAAGCTTTATAAATGAGACCCTTATTCATCTCAGTTACTTCTTGTTATTGTGTGCCAAAAGATCCTTTGATTCTAAATAATTACCTTTAAGCTTTTAATGTTTTCAGAAGTGGGTCAATGTTAAAAGTAATTGTTAGCATTCTAGAATGATAAAGCTAAAAGGGAAAGCTATGAACTCTGTTGCACAACAATTCAGTAACGATTTTTTAACAAGCAAACAGAGGTGTGGAGGAATTTACCCAAAGCTCTTCAACCTTCAAGGTCAAGAGAATTTTTTATGTTTTACCTTGAAACAGCTTGTTTCTCTTTTGTAGGGGTTGAGATCATTTATAGTACCGACTATGATCCGGTTTAATAGTTCATGAAATATGGTTCTGAATTACCTGTGATATCAGCATGCTGTTTCTTGAGTGAAATTTTCTTTTTAAAACCTCCCTTGTATTTCCAGTTAGTTAAAACAGTTTCTTTGGAAAATAAATAATTTAAAGAAGGTAAAATTAAGGAAATTAAATGAATGTATTTAAGGGAATATTGTATATTTTTTTTCTTTCATTAAGTGTAATTTTATACACATATTTAGAAAAATTTCCCCCAGTATACTTATTAACCACAAGGTTTAATATATTACAGAAGTTCGTGTTTCAGAGCAACACTGATGTATTTGTGTGAGAAGTGAATTTGTACAGTATGTTCTTAAAAGTCCAGCATGAATTGTTTTAATACACTTTATTGCCAAAATTATTTGCTCACCTCTCCAGATTATTGATTTAAGGTGTTCGAATGACTTCAGAGGCTACAGTTGTATAATGATTAAGCTCCTAGATGGGGAGACTCCTTCTATAAACAGTAAAAAAAAAAGTGTTTGGGAGGAAGTCAGAGATTTGTCGCATGGGACCATGACATGTATGGAGGCCCAACTCTGACATAATAATAAAAAAAAAAAAAACATAAATAGAGAAAGTTAATTAAATAGATGGGCACGATTGAATGCACTAAAAAATCATGTTCTAAACGCATTTGTTTTGATTTGTAATTATTTTTTTGTTTTGTTTTATTAAATGCATTTGATTCCCTAGGCATCATTATTTGTGTCTGTTTTTGTTGGATTTTTTTCCCCCCCATTTATTTATTCACCTTATTAATTTCTGCCTGTTCTTTTTATATTTCTGTATGCATTTCTGCCTCATTATGCAAACAAGGAGGGGTTAGTATGTAACCCACATGCTAACAAGCCTTCTACAGTTGAAACAAAGATGGCCACCTACTCTGAAGAATACCTACAGAAACAGCAGCTCCTGTGTCAGAAGCATTCATTATGCAGTAGGAGAGGTTGTAGTCTCCCATCTGATTGTTAACCAATGAGATCCATTGAATAAGCTCTTGTTTATTCAATGTCTTGTTTACTCATTGCATGCATGCACAAAATCGTACCTCCACTCATTGGTTTTATTACAGTCATTACACAAAAATCTTACTTTACTAACCCCCCCCCAAAATAAAAATAAAAAAATGAAATATAGCACAGTAATTGGCTTCAAAAGGTTTTGAATGCAATCATAGTGAGGTACATGTGCCCTCTTTGATCTGTTGCATATTGAATCTTCGATTGTCAAAGCAGGCAAGGAACGTCCAGCTAGAAGATTTGAATCTGTAGGCCTATATAACAATTTTGTTTGTTTGTTTTCAATCCAGGATGTTGACACAAAAGTCACATTATGGCTCTCTGTATTTATCCTAACAAGAGGCAATAAAACACGTTGGGGGTTATGAACTCCAGCAGCTTCTGTCCAACAATAACAGACAGCAACTGAAAATGGGAGCAAGGTGACTGTGATCATATAATGGTTTTTAACATAAATTTACATCAATGATCTACATAAATAGTTATAGTTCACATAATAGATAAATAACATGCTCATATTTTAAATTGAAAGAAAATCATACAATTGGAAATGTATTTATTACTTTCTACAAAAAAAGTAAAACATACCTAACAAGAAAAAATAAAACAAGTTTTTTGTTGGCACCTTCTGCCCCTATGGATTTAATAAAAAATAAATAAATTATTCTGAACAAAATACAGAGTACTTGCTTCAAATGAGCATCCAACATTAAACAAAAGTGAAATGCACCTTTATTAGGATAACAGTGTAAAACAAGACATGGCAAAATTAAACATGTAACCATGAAATGAAACAACATAGATAATTTTTTCCCCCAAAATACTATATGTTTAAACATTTTGCAAATAAAACACAGAGCTGATTCTAATATATACAACAGCAACAGAGAAAAAGGGAAGAGCTGATTGTTAGTTGCTATGATAAACTTATATACCAGAAAAAAATGTGGTCATAAAGGTTAAAAAAACAACTTTTTGTTACATAAAATCTATTTCAAGAATGAATAAACCAGTTTTGACAAACTTCCCCTGTATAATAATGTAGAATCTGTTACAAATGCACATTCTATGATGGATGACATGTTTTAGACAGGATAAGGTCTAGAATGAAATGACCAAATATGCATTAAAGAGGCAAAGAGCAAAGGGTTAAAATTACATGTACCTAATTTTGTGTTATGCTTTTTTAATCATCAGGAAATGTGTTCAATACTTTTTAATCTTAGTGTGTTTTTTTATAGCCCTGAAAAAGAACAGCAAAAATAAATCAAAGCGCTGAGCCAGTGCAATTAAGAAATAATTTTATTCAGTCTTTTTTTTTAAATCACATTCCTACTTTCTCCAATTTACTGCAAAGCACCTTGTCCCTGGGACACCTGAGCCAATGTTAAACATATACTTTGTATGATTAATGTCTTTCAAATAAAATAATAGGATGATTATGTACAATATGTAATACCACCTGTCTTCACACTTTTCATACCCTTATTCCTGTGATTCAGGATTTGTAAATATTCAAGGACAGGGTGTGAGTAAGTTGGCATACTTTTAGGAACTTCTGTGCAGTGACATAAAACAGAAAGAGTTTGCTAAGGGCGGGAACTACATCAGAAGCAAACTGTGTTTATCAGCTGCCATCTCAGACGACACAAAGGATATAGAAAACATTTAATGGCTTGGAATCACACAGAAGATCCACACTGAGCTATAGGTTAAATCACTTAGAAATTGGTCAAAAAGATCTTTGGTTTTCTGTCCACCTTCTATTTATTCTCTCTGTGTATTGGAAGGTGTTCTCTTTCAAGGCATCATTTAAATTTAGAAAAAAAATGAAGAAAATGCTTTCTGTGGAATCCTGGAACAAGAGGAGTTTTTTTATCCTACTTATTATTCTGACCTTGGTTTTGATTGTGCTAATTGTAGGCACTGCAATGACCACTCATAAAGGAGGTAAGTCTGTAGTTTCCTTTGATTATCTCTGTTTAAACAAGATTACATTTGAACTATTAACCAGTTTTTGTACTTTATTGTCTATCAGTAGTGAAATTCAGGCGCAGCACCATAAAGTCACAGGCAAGCTTAATCATTCAGTTTTATAGGTACAATTTTAAGAGAGTAAAAATAAGAAATTGTTCAAATTTACAGTATAAGACAAAATACTGTCTTCCTGATGAGCTTAACTAAATATCCCCTCCATGCTATATAGGCCCACTACCGCTCTAACATACCATGCCATAGTGTAGACGATAGCTGATACCCTAAAAGAGACAAAATGCTTGTACAGGAGACCTCCCAGCATTCCTAAAGACCATAGGGTCCTTAGCAGTTAGAGACACATCTGATCTTTCTTTATCAGTTCTGTGATGTCATGCCAATTTGTTGTTGGTAGGCACCAAAGTGAACACCAAGGGACTTACATGTTTTTAGAATCTGAATGTCACTGGATGTCTCACTGTATACAAAAACAATGAAACACCTGGAGGCAAAAGGGGCAGCATATTTTGTTAATCATTTGAGAAAGTAAATGGTGTGTGCAATAACATTACACAGAGAATAAATGTTCGAGAGATAAGTAAAATACACTCCATTCAGTGATTGAGGAAGTGAAATTCCTAGGGCGTTGTTTTTATCACTTTTCTTATTGAACCTGAGCCAAATTCTGTATTTGTCCATAAGAAAAAAAGACATTTGAATGAATGAGTCAATGAATGAATGAATGAATGAAAGGAATTTATTTCAGACGATTAACAAATACTGAAAATAATAATAATAATAGATAAATCAATTTCTAAAAATATTTCAAACAAACAACCATGTACACACTAAAAAGCAATTGGTTACAGGTCAAACATTAATTACATTTTTAAGTTTGAAATTAATTAAATTTATTTACCACATAAATACAAGCTAAGCAAATAAACATCATTTTTAATAAACTTGTCAGTGTATATCTTGAGATCTGACATTGATTATTCATGTTTGAGTATTGATTCATTTATGTTGTCTGAAAAGGGGTATGAAGAAGTAAAACTCATTTTAGTAGCTTAAGTAGCCTTAATGCTTAACTTCTCTGTTTTGGACCCAAAATTAACAAAACAGAACTTTATGGTATTGGGGCGCTGAAAATACTGCGCTTTAACAGGCTTCTGAACCCAAGCGCAGGTGCAGACAATTAGAGGGAAGATGGCGAATGTAACGAACGAGATGCAGCTTCCACCAAATTCGGTGAGATCCTTATTTATCTACCCGTTTGCCAGAAGAACATCCCTGTTGTAGGATATGAAAATTTCATGTCATGGTTATTGTGACTGTGACGAATCCACATCCTCTAACTTTGCGCGCCACACACACATTCCTGTTATACTGTGTTTGTGAGGACTAATACACTCGCGCTGAGCCCTACAGTAGCGGTCCATTAACTTAAAACACACAAGCTGTCCTGGTTACCTACTGGCATATTGAGGGTGCACACTTAATATTTCAGTGGGGTTAGCCGTGTGTGTGTGTGTGGGGGGTGTGGGGGTGTACGTGTTTATGCTATGGGGAGTTGTCATCTTCAGTCTGGCTGCGTCTTTGCTGGTTTCAAACCCAGTTTGGTGTAATTGAATAAGTCAATGAATCTGTGTAAAATAATTAAGTTGTAAAAATTATTTGTTTTTGGATATCAATTATTTGTGGAGGTGATATATGGACAAAACTGATTTATGAGAAGAAATCAGAAATAAGAGAGCCTGAGGGGAGGGGCTTAAACTATTTAATGAGGGCTGTGGGAAGAAAAGCGGCAATTTTTGTTTTCTGTTTCTTTGTTACATTGCTGGTAACTGGAGGGAGGCTGAGGCCCAGAGGATCTTGTACATGTTTAGTTTCTTTTGCACCCTGTTTTGAGTTTTTGAGCACAATAAATCACCAACACCAGTAACCAGGGGCGGATTTAGGAAATTTGGGGCCCTAGGCAAAGACAGGCACGGGGCCCCCTGAGAAGAAAACCCATAAAACAGACCCATTCTGCAGATAGAGAAATGTTAATAGAATAGACATCCATTATTTGTTCTAGGTTTTGTCCCTCTCTTCTTGTCCCTTTTTCCTCTCTATTTATCAGTGTTCTGATGGCATTTTAGCCAAAGGATTTTTATCAAAAACATAATTAATGTGCACAAATAAGGATTAGTTGTATTAACCATACATGGAAACAGAGTTTTATGGGGCCCCCAGGAACTTTGGGCCCTAGGCAACTGCCTAGTATTGCCTAATGGTAAATCCCCCCTTGCCGGTAACCCGACTGAGCCTGGATTCTTGGAGGCCAAAGAACCCTGTCACAGTGACCCAAATCATCACTGTTACTGTTATTATGTGGGTTCTCTCCAGGTACTCCAGCTTCCTCCCAAAATTAAAAAAGATGACTTTCACCCATAGACTGCTGAAGAAAGGCAAAGGCCTCAGCGTCCTAGAATTCATAACCACTTTTACGGTACTGTTGTTGAATATAATAATAATATAAAATCAAGGGGCCAATGTAAAAAAAAAAAACGGTGTTCTCCTTTAAGTTCTGTTTGTGAAACGGAAAACTCTGAGTTTCCCTGATTTCAGGTTTAAAAAACTTAGGCTGTTTCTCAATATGTGTACTTGTGCACTCGTTAAATGTCCTCAGTCTCAGCTCTAGTACTGTTCCACTCTTTGAGTTTTTACTGCTCTAGTGGCTCGTTTTTCTGACAGTAGGCGAACTGGACCACAGGTCGGATTCGAATCAAGTCACCCGCAGCGAGGACTAAAGCCTCCGTACACGTTTGTGCACACTAACCACTGCGCCACCTCCACACACTAAATCCATTATTTAAATCTGGCTATATTCATAGTCTTAAGCAGCAAAAGCACCATCATTATGACTAGTCAGTGCATTTCTCTGTTCCTCTTCCCTACCAGACATTTCTGGCTTTATAAACTTTTAAACTTGATCTTTATATCATCTTTCTTTTGAAGCTTCTGTCAAAGTGGTTAGAAATAAACCACAGCAAACCAGAGTGTGGTCTGAGGGGGCCATGGTGAATCTCCAAGATTGTTTTTAATGCTCTGACTGGAACATGTTCAAAGCTGCACCAACCTATGACAACAAAATAGATGCCATGACCGTGTCAGCCTACGTCAACAAATGCATTGAAGACTTAGACTTAGACTTAGACTTAGACTTCTTTATTTGTCATTTTGTATGCACAGGGTGCATACAGAACGAAATTGCGTTACATACAGCTTATGAACGTTGCATTGATATTTCACAATGGCACGAGTTATAGAAAAATACAAAAAGTGCAGCAGTGGTCAAAGTGTGAACAGTGCAGAGGATAAGAGACAGTGTGCAAGTTGCAGTGGTTCAGTGCAAAATGGCATTTGTGCAAAAAATGCGTTATTGAAAAATACAATGAGATGAACAATTTAAAGGGCTAAAAGTTAAAAGTTCAGCAGCATTTGATGCCCGATAATGTGCAATAGGTGCAGAGTTCGGATTGTGGATCAAAGGTTCAACAGTCTGATGGCAGTGGGGAAGAAGCTGTTGCACAACCTGGTGGATCTGCAGCGGATGCTGCGGAACCTCTTTCCAGAGGGCAGCAGGGAGAACAGTCCATGGTGGGGGTGTGAGGGGTCTTTGATGATATTACGGGCTCGGGACACACAGCGCTGTGATGAAATGTCCTTAATGGAGGGAAGAGGAGCCCCAATGATTCCTTCCGCTGTCCTCACCACCCTCCTCACATTCTTCCTGTGATGTCAGCATCACAAAGAACATCACCAACTGGGCAAACCAACAACCCTGGATGAATGGGAAGGTTTGGAAATCACTAAAAGCATGGAACTCAGTTTTCAAGTCTGGTGATACAGAGGCACTGAGGAAAGCATGTGCCATGTTGAAGCGTGCAATTAGATCAGCGAAGCAGAGCCACAGCTGGAAGATTCATCATCTTTTCCATGACGCCAAACTACAACACAACCTCCTCCCCAGTAGATGCACCTAATGCTGACTTCCTAAATGAACTAAACAACTTCTTTGGTAGGTTTGAGGCACTAAACAGCACTCCAGTCGTTAAAGCTTTTCCACACTAGGAACAGGAACCAGTAAATAGCTGAAGTGAGGAAAACTCTGAGGACAGTCAACCCAAGAAAGGCCCCGAACCCCGATAACATACCTAGGCAGATATACAAGGAGAGTGCAGGTCAGCTGGCTGGTGTCCTCACAGACAGTTTTAACACCTCATTAAAAGGGCACAAAAGCGCATGTACTTCCTGTGGAGAATGAGGAGAGCCCACCTGCCCCCACCCATCCTCAGAACCTTCTACATAGGCACCATAGAGGGCAGTCTGACTAGCTGTCTCACTGTGTGGTGTGGAGACTGCAGCGTCGTAGACTGGAAGAAGGGGAGAAGAGTAGTGAGAACAGCAGAGAAGAGTCCCCTTTTCCCTCAAAAAAAGACATTTCATCTCAGCACTGCGAGTCGCGGCCTGTAACATTGTCAATGAACCCTCACATCCCCACCATGGACTGTTCTTCATGCTGCCCTCTGGGAAGAGTTTTGCAACATTTGATGCAGGTCCAGCAGATTCTGAAACAGCTTTTTCCCCACTGCCATTGTCGTATCTCCTATTTTTAAGAGAATAAATCAGCGCGGACCAACTGTGTCTTGATGTTACTCCAAAGCTTTATTGAACAACCAACTTCCTCAGACGTAAGGCGTCCCACACCCCCGTGATCCCACACACACAATCCTATTGGTCTACAGTACTCCCTGTACGTAACCTGCGTAAAGCATTAACCCTTGATGCACAGTATTCAGATACACCACAGCCATCAGACAGCTGATCTGTTGAGAAAACTCTACATCATGTCACAGACATTGCATCACACTGACAACACCAAACCAAAACACTGCATAATTGCACCATATATATTTATTGCTCTGAAC